AAAATTAGTGAACTTATAATCAACTTGATGTAAATAAGAAAAAGATATGAGAATAGAATCATATAATATATGGAGACATATCATAATGATATGCTAAGTAAAGTTCAGTAGCAACATAATGGTTTGCTAGTAATGTCATTCGTAGTACAGCATTTAGTTCAGATTGATTTCAATGTCTTATAAGTGTCTATGCAGTAAGTGTTCAACAGACCAGCAAAGTAACGGCTATGAAGAGCAGTCTTGAAACTTGAAACAGAATCTAACGATTTGATGTCGGCAGGCAGGTTGATTCCATATTCTGGGCAATCTATTGAAGTATGAGTTCTGGAATTGTTTAGTTCTATAGTTTGAGGACCCGCGGGTTTGAGGAACAAGAAGGTACATCTTGCAGTTGTTTCTTGTGGAGCGGGAGGCATTTCTAGGCTTTACGTAGTCATCAACAGAAAACTTGTAGTAGCCAGCTCGACTTTTCAAATAGAATGTCAAATCAATGATTTCGTGCCAATACGATACAGGTAATAAATCAAGGTTAACCAGACGTTCACGATAATCCAGCCCACTATTAGGAAGGATAAATCTAGTAGCTCTGCGCTGGAGTTGTTCAATAGATTTGATGCTGCAGACTTGTGAGGGAGACCATATCTGACTTGCATATCCAATATAAGGGCGAATGAGTGTATTGTACAAAGTTCGTTTTGCCCTTACATCAAAGTATCTCGAGGCATGACGCATCAAGAACCCAAGCATACGGTATCCTTTAGCAAGGACATACTTTATGTGGTCTGACCATTTAAATATAAGATCTTCATTCTTGGATTCCCGTACCCATACAAATTCACTGAGTTTAAAGATAAAATTTAGATAGATTTCTTTAGTTAGCTCTCTTAACAGCAATGAGAAAAGCTTCAATCAAGCTAGAAAAATGATATTTTACTTGTATTTAGAGAACTAACTAAACAAACCAAGTCAGTACATTTGTACGCAAATCCGAGAACAATCCGATACCTGTCCGAACTTCTTGGTGACGGTAGCATATGGGGCGCCGATCCAGTCAATATTCTTATCATTTATTTTATGGCTTATTGTATTTTTATTGTGGTCTTTGAATTTGCTTTTATGGTGATTATATTTAATTTTTGGTGGGACTGAATTTGCTTTTGAAGCACCCGAATTTACTTTTATGGTCATTTGCTTAATCTTTGGCAATCGAATTAATATATTCTAATGCAGGATTTTTTTTATTCTGATCTGAATTTATTTATGGTCTTTGGATTTTTAACATGCTAATTATGATGCATCGATTTGACCGTGTGAGAGACTGGTTGACAAAACAAGATGGCGGAGCAAAAGGAAACCCCCTTTTCCCGGGGAGGAGGGGGGGGGGGTACTCCCTTTGTTCAGGTGGTAGGGGTGATCAGCGGTCGATTTTTAAAATGGCCCCTAAAAGGTACGCATATATTAAAAAGGCTCTTAAAACCAACCTGATTTCAAACCCTAAAAGGTACAGCTTTATTTCAGTAATTTACTATTAACCCCGGCTATCATGCCGGTTTAACGAATGACAGGACAGCGTATAATAAGATTATAACGATGATCATATTAAAGAAATATTTAGTGCATCATCGTAAAGTAAACAGCGGCATAGCATGGATAAATGACCCCAAAAGGTACGGAGTTATGTTACGTAATTGACTTTTGAGCCGGAACCGCTAAAAGGTCCACACAGGGAACATTTTCAACCCCTAAAAAGGAGCGCCGATCAACCCTACCACTAGCGTTGCGTGACGAACCAAAAAACGGCTGCAAAGGAGGCTACCCTACCACCCGAACAAAGGGAGTACCCCCCACCCCGGGCCCCTGTTCTTTAGTATGTCGTCATGCAGCAGAAGTCTTAAACGCTTTCGAAAATATTTCAAACGCGGATGTACAACATCTTGCTGCAGGTGAACAATCCACATTCGTTTCTCTCTCTCTTCGGACCGTCCGACTCATTCACCTTTCCAAGTTAAATATCAACTCTGACTGTTCACTTAAAGTGCATATCAGGGTTCGCTGTTTTTTGTTTAATATGATAGCTTTAACCCTTAAGATCATATAATCGCTAAAAATTATTTGATCGTGTTGCGATTTCATTATTATTTTTTCGGTCAAAGTTCCCAAAAAGCAGCAAAATGCCAAGCAACTTGCTCCGCCATCTTGTTTTGACAACCCAGTCTCTCACTCGGTCAAACCGAAGCTCGCAATGCATCATTTAAAAGTCCAAAGACCAAAAAAGTCCCATGTGACAGCTAGAGTATATGGTAAAACCATGCGACGAGAGACGGCTCACTAGCGTAGTATAAATATCTTGTTGTAGAAGAAAGTTTTCTTCGTGTACGGGTTGAATGTTTTGAGCTTAGAAAAAGAATACAATAGGACTTCACTATTTTTGGTAAGTACATCTCGACTTCTTTGTTTCTATCGACGAAAGAGAGCTACTTTAGTGCTAGTGTGCGTTTAACATACGTGTATGAAATGCCAGACTGATCTACAACCATTTGGTTTTGGTTCATCTTCGATTTCGTCATCTTAATCATCCATTACCAGTAGTTTCTCTACACATTCGACGTCTGTGTCTTCGTCAATCAGCACTTATATAAGTTATGGGATTAGGTTATGAATGAGGATAATTTTCTATTAACAGTTCATTGATATACGACTATGGTAGTGAATGCACCATAGACCCCTTTCAGCACTTTGCAATGCAGCTCAATCTGAGGGACAAAGCAATAGGTTTTCAATTGTCAGGTGTTTGGAATTCTTTTTGTTATTTCCACCCCAAATCCAGCTAATATAACGTCACCATTGTAAGGGATTTATAGTTAATGGGGTAAGATGAGGAAATCTTATTCTCATTAGTAATCTCAGACTACCAAATTAGTTTTGTTCAATTTTGACATACCTCAGAGATTTCTGTATCCAATTATCTCCAAGTTGGACAGCATTTTCAAATCATAACTGTTAAAAACAAGTGATATTCTCATTTATGTAGTTTAAAAAAACGGCACAAATTTGGGGTCAGACAGTCAATTTGTTCTTCTAAAGGCCATAGTATTTTGCAAAGTTTAAAATACTTGTGTGGTTTCGATTTCCCCATGCTTAAAAAGCAAAAAGGTCGTTTATTCTATAACTGAAAGCTAGCACAAAAGTCATGTCTGTCTTAAGGTGACTACTTTTGAACGTTCAATTTGAGCCCAAGACGTGCGCGCGCTCCATGAGGAGCTTTAGTAGCTTAGGATTTCCCTGCGTGATATCTATGACGTCTTCCTACTCGCATTACAGTTTAAGTAAGTTTTGGTTTCAAAACTCTACACTGTATTAACCTTTGCTTCCAAAAACAAACAACATTGAAAGATTTCGCTTGCAGTTCTGATAAATTGGAAAATCTATTAATCTATATTGTAATTAGCGCAATTGAGTATGCTTTTTCGTTGCTAATGATATTAAATTATGAGCATGAGTTATCAATCTGAATCTAAAATAATACTGTTTTAGACAAATTTTATATTTCTAACACATGAAAAAATAGATTTTTGTAGGGATTTTTGTTCGACTTTATGAGGTTTTTTAAGAGCACCGAAACTACAAAATATGACAAGTCAATGTATCTCTATGCCTTTTTGTCGAAAATATCCATGTATTATTGTAGAATGATTGACTAGCCTTCATTCGTGCAATTACTGTATACAGTCTACAAATAACTATTATCTTATGAATCTTAATTTTTTTCTAACCACTTCCAGTGGTGCAAGTTTTGCTCTAAAAGTTGGCGTAAGGCTTCCATTAAATGCTGATTATCTCGAAAACAAGCTTGGGACACCCAATTGTTCTTTCCAGATTTGGAATCGCCATTAAATTTCAATTCGGAAAATTGAAGTTTTAAAAAAAGTTTAAATCGTTTTCCAAAAGTAGGCAGTCACCTTAAAGTGAACAAAACTTGCAATATTTCATCTCCACTAAAGAAAGTTTACAAAGCATTTTGTGTTTGAAAGCTCTGAGAAGGAGTGGCCTAAACTCAGAAAAACTTGATTACACTGCACAAATATATAGTCCTTCATTTCCAGAAAACAGAAAGTACATTCATTGATGCTAACTAGTATTTCATTAAAAAAAGTTTATGTAGTTGGTAATATGATATATAATAAAACTAATAGACCTTTTTGGCTTGGGCGCAATGTTTTCCTATTTCAGACCATGTGTCATTCTCTTGAGTAAGATTCTTTGTTTGAGTTGTATTCATATTCATGTGTCTTCTCATGCACAACCGTTAAACAAATGATACTCTTGGGAATTATGACACATCAAGTCTGAAATGGCGGAAAACATTATGCCCAAGGCAGAATTAAAGATCTATAATTGATCAGAGTTTGAGCACTGTACCATTCATCCAGTCATCTTATCCCATCAATACTGCAGTTGTATTCTAAACATTAAATTGTAGCACGTTGTTTGTAGGAAAACAATTTTATTTCCACTGTGGATTCCTCCTCCATGGTGACTGATTCAATCACTATTGTCTGAGTCGGAATTTGAGAGTATACTGAAGTAGAAATTAAAATAGAATTGAAGAGTAAAAAAAAACCACAAAAGTTCATGATAATTGTTGGGTGCCACTAATAGGTTGGGTGCACCCTATGCCATCAGAATAAAAGGACATAAGGCATGGCTGCTATTAATGTTGGTTGACAAAAGACACCAAGACAAAATATTTTGTTATATTTTGTTATAAAGTCAACCAACATGCCATAAGGGCTGTGACATCACATACATGCACCACAAGATCAGAGAATAAGCTAGTTTTAGGATAGTAAGTTTATTGAAGTATATCATCTTGACATTTGTTTTGCTTGCTTTTTCTTTAGGTTTTTAAAGTCCTTTCAAGGAACCTATAGCTAAGAGGGTTATTATTGTGCAAGCATCTATAGCAACAATGTAAGTGCTACAGTAGTTTTGTTTTATTTTTAATAGTTGTAAGCATATACCGTATAATGAAGTTAATTTATAAATCTGCAGTAATAAATTTTCTGTTTATCTTAAAACTCGTTAATTGATTTCATACACAGTTAAAGCATACGTACATATATACAAAATAATGGCAGAATGCAGCTCATGTCACACCGTTATGCCTCACATGGAAAACCTAATGGTCCAATCGAATAGAAACCTTGCAGTGCAATATGATACAATCTGTGAACTTGTAGACTCTGACTCACAACCTTCACCTGTGTCAAGAAGGAAAACTCCTCCTCAACCTGAGCCCTCAAATGAACAGGCTTGCCTGCCTAAAAACTACCCAGTGCAATATGATACAATCTGTGAACTTGTAGACTCTGACTCAAGTCCTTCACCCGTGTTAAGAAGGAAAACTCCTCCTCAATCTGAGTCCTCAAATGAACAGGCCTGGCTGCCTGACAATTCAGAATGCTGCTCAGTAAAAGGGGATAAAACGCCTCTTCCTAAAGAAACTTCAGTTGAAGGTGGTCACATTCTTGCATCTGAAAACGTTACGAAAACAGAAGAAAAGAGTATTGCCCAAGATGAAAGTAGTGCAACAAAAAGTTGTAAGATTGTTGTGCAAGAAGTTTTGCCAATACCACAAGTTGTCAATTTTGTGCCCCACCCTGACAACGTGAAAAATGTCAGAAAACCCAAAGACACATTTGTCACAGTTGAGGAGGATCATATTGGAAATGGTGAGCTACATAGGCATGTTCCAGAGGTTTCCACAGAGAAAGAAGACACAAGCGATGGCTACAACTTTGCTAAAGAAGATAATTCAGCAAAGCAAGACCAAAGCCATTACCAAACATTGGGGTTTCCAACCAACATTGACCACTGCTCTGGTGAGAATATTTCTACTGATGAATGCCACAAGAGAGATAGGCATTGCTGTGCAATGCCAGACATTTCACGTGGGGATTTGATAGCTATCACAAGATTTAGGCATTCATACAAACACTTTATGGTTTATATAGGAGATGGGGATGTTGTGCACCGAACAGGCGGAAAAGACGAGTGGTTCAGCTTTAGAAAAGGAAGAATCAAAAGGGAAAAGCTTGCCGACATTGTATCAGATAGCTCTATGTGTACATTGGTTATTGAAAATGGGTCATGGGAGGGTCATGACCCTCTACCCACAGACGAAATCATCGACAGAGCCATTTCAAAAATTGACGAAAAAGGATATAATCTGATTTCAAAAAACTGCGAACACTTTGCTCGCTGGTGTCGATATGGGCAAGAAGTCAGCAAACAAGTAAACGACCTACTATCTCAAATAATGCTTGCTGCAGTTATTAGTATTCCACTACTTGCTTTTACATGTATCTTCTATTTTTTTTAATGAGCTACAGTAAAAACCTGCAAAAAAACCCAGTGGATTAAGAACCACCAGGCTGAAATTTAGCCATTAGAGATTTTGTACCATCACGTGACGTCAGCCATGTTAGATGACAGGAACAATACTACATTTTACTTGAGAAAGAATTCAATTCCCAAGACCGAAGGGATCTTTTGTTCTGATACCAACCACAGGCAGTCCGAGGTAGATTATTATATGGGCGTGGGCAAGCGATATACAAATATACCAATATACAAAAAGCACTTCAGCCTTACAACTGAGACAGGTTCTTACGTGAAAATTACATTAAAGCTTTTATTGACAAACATCTACACTTGCATGTTCTAATAAGATCTTTGAGAATATTGTTAAATGTTTAATATAAATATAAAACCTTCTGGGGTCAATACCTGTAGCTGTAACTTCTTAAATAAAACACCTTTAAATAAGAACCTAAGTGTTAATAAGTACTCAGCCTGGTTTCTCACTAGATACCAAATATATAAGAACCAATACAGCCTGACTTGGAAAATTGGTGCTTCTTTTATGTTGGTTTTTACTGTATTTGGTTAAAAATCTCCAAGCAAATGCAGACGATACTGAACTGATGATGGCACACCAAACTCAAGATGAACAATATTAAGACTGCTTCTTTTGAAACGCAAAAAGAAAAGATCGTTAGTAGTTGGAATGGTAGTTGAATAGTACATTTATTATTTCCATTGATTTCTCTTGTGTCTTGACTATTACACAAGTAATTTTGGTTCCACAGGTTAACTAGAGTACAAACACTAGTGTGCAACACTTTGCACTATTTAGTAGTAAATAGTAATAATTAAACAATAGAAAACAATAGGATTAGCATAATTTAGCAGTATTTAGTGGTATCTATGTTAGAGTGACCACAGTAAATCTGTGAAACACTGATTACTAAATAGTACAAAATAGTGCTAGTTAAACAAAAGAAAACAATAGAATTTGCATGAAATTGTGCTATTTAGTATTACTAAAGTTTCACGGATTTACTGTGGTCACTCTACACACTTATATTGTTTGTACTCTAAAATCACTCAGCTCTTTATTTATTACTATGTTTAGTTTGCATGCTTTTAGTGTAATATTACTGTAGTAAACCATTTGCACAGGGGGAATTAAGAGTTATCCTGTCATGCATTGCGAGTGGTCAGCATGAGATAAACCATTTTTTCCATTTAAACAGCTAAAATTAATATTTTCAATTATACTTAAAAAGATTGAGTGTATGTCATTTCTTTTAGTGTTAACTATTTTCTTAATTCTTCAAGAAATTTAGAAATATGTGTCAAAACACTGGAGTACTTTGGAGTACTTTCAGGTTTAGTAAAGATCCTACAACTGGCTACTTTTATTTGCCAAATTAGTTGAACATGTCTCCATCAATGCAAAAGCAATACCTTGGTATAATCGGCATTTTTTCAGATTTTGTAGTATTCCATGGGAAATTCCCATGCGTCTAGATTATAATATGGAGTAGAACTAAAGCTTGTAAAGTAGGGCGAAGGTAGTGCATAATAAAAGTACAGTAAAAAAATATCTCTATTGAAGTGTTTAAGTCATATGTGAACTTAGGCCCCGTCCACACGTATCCGGAAATTTTTGTATCCGCAAATTATTTTTTGCGAATACGAAAATGTTTGCGTCCACACGCAGCGTATCCGAATCGTTTTCACCGTCCACACGTATCCGTTTTCGTAAAATTTGCGGAAATGGACACAAAAATTGGCGGACACGTGTGGACGCAACCCGTATCCGTAAAAAAAATTGCGGATACGAAAATTTGCGGATACATGTGGACAGGGCCTTAGAGTTGCTTGTTGGTTCTCTCCTGTGCTTCGAGGGTTTTCCGGTTTTCCTCCCTCCGCAAAAATCGACTGTTAACTTCCAATTTGAATCCAGTGGAAGAAGAGCCACTCTGTGGAATCCACTGTTAATCCCATTATTTGTTATTTGTTTATCTAGTTCTAGCGCTTACAAACTAATTTGGGACACAAAGTTGATGACAAAGTAAACCATACTTAAAATGGTGAAATATGCAGACTTTTAGACACAGGAAACCCAAACATTAATTTACAGCTTTTTAATCAAAAATATTTATTTCAATATATAAAACGGTTATTGGTGTGAATGTGAAACTATTAGTCTTTACTCTCATTGTTATTTTTATTATTGTTATTATTATTATTATTGTTATTATCATTATTATTATTATCGTTTAATTATCGTTATTATTGTCATCATTATTATTATCACTACTGAGTACACTTATTTCAATGAAGCTGAAACCGACAAGGATTATGGGTAGCTACATTTTACATGTGTTAACCGCTTGATAACTGTTGATGGACTTGAGATCTTCTACTAGTTACAAGTTCACCTCTGAGCATCCTCAACTACTGCAGTTTGTGTCGAAACCTTTACTTGTTAAATATGAAATATTTCCCATGATTCTCAGCGATCACAGCTATCTAGGTTTTTGTTGACTAACTTTATTGAAATAAGTGTATATAAATACTTTAATACTTCAGTCAGTCAGTCATTCGGTCAGTCAGTTTAGCTAGTATAAAACGTAAGTACGTCTTGACTGTTGCTCCCTTAAAAGTCGTTGTTGTTCTGTCGTCCTGTCAGTAAATACCTGAGATAGAAATGAAAAAAAGGTAAAATAACCACTTCAAACAGAACACATTTATTTAAACTTCTATGAGTGTTGACATTATTTTTGGCGCCATTAATCACGTGACAACAATCAATACTCAATATTGAACACATGACTATTTTTCGAAAATGTATAATATTAACTTAACTTTTGATTTTACTTCATGGTTTATTTAGAGTAGTATTGTATTAGAACAAATTATGTATTACTGATATATTACGCCAACTGCCACGGTCACGGTCCCCTGTAGACCGCCACAACGCTTGCTCGTCCAATCAAAATGCCTAGATAAGCCGACGTCACAGTTGGTCCTCCTTTTGTTCCTGTTCGACTGTACCGTAAGTTTTTTTACAATATAATCTAATCTGCTCTAAACCAATCACAGTAAATTACGCAAATGGTAACCCAATCAGAATGCGAAGACGCGGCACGGTAAAAAAAGTTCTGTTCCGTAACGTATTCTTGTCCTAGATTCTTACACAATATCTGAATTAGCAGCCATTTCGCTCGCACGCTGTCTATCAACCCATTCTTATTTACCCGTCTTCGCTTCCTTCTTCTCTATGCCTTTCTTTCACCTATTAAATACCCTAACACGTCTTTTTCTTCCACGTGAATGTAATACCATCTTAATATACTGTCACTCCTTAATGTTTTTTGTTTTTATGCTTTTGCACCAACGTTTTTCTACTCACAGCCGGAAAAGCAAGAGCATGCGCACTGCAACACGTAACATGACATCCGGGAACACATCTATTGTAGCAAGACTTGGGACATGTGGTGGGTATCTTGCTCAGTGACGCACTTCGAGGGACTGGGGAGAATGCAGGGTACCCATGAGGTCTGTAGAACAAGTTGCTTCGTCTCTCTACGGATAAAAAATGTAAAATTTTTCTCAAACGTATATATAGGAACTTTGATGAAAATTCAATTCAATTCTCAATTCTATGTTGAAAAGGCATCATTTTTCAACAAATGCAGGGCATTATACAAGTGAGATCAGTTTTTTTCCTTCGAACTCTTCCACATGGGTAAAGGATTATCAAAACGCACACGATTGACTACCTGTGTTTATATAAGCGCGCGCAGGTACAATATTTTGTTTGCATACGTTTCCTTATTAATGACGACAAGCACGCGCGGTCCCTGGTTTTTGATTGGCCGACTCAAAAGCATGTCACGAGGAAAGCGCGCACTTTCGCAATAAATACACAACATGCGCGCGCTTTTATGCACTTGCCTCAAGAGTTCGTTTGACTTGTTCGGTAACTTAGACTGCAACAATCAAAGACTTTGAGCATTTGACTGGCCTATTTGCCGAACATGGGAAGCCAATTAACTTGTTACGGCTGTTCAAGTTATAGTGTCAAGATAAACAAAAGGTACAGATGGTTTATCTATTTGATATGACCAGCAAGAAGCAATGAAAAAATATGCGCGCGCATAAATTTAACAAAGACGTCGGGACGCGTTCTCAAGACGACGGTGCGCACGTAAAAAGAAGAAATGCATTTGGTTGCAGCAAGCTAAATACAGTATTTTTGCATAAACCGAGACGCAAAAGAGAAAAATATCAAGAAAGATTTTAGCCCTCAATATATACGGCAGGAAATTGAAAGTAAATCCTTGGTATAGAGGCTTTGCACCATCACGTGATGGCAGCCATGACAGGAAGCACAACAATAGTCTTTTTTCCTTTGGGAAACTGAATTTATTCTCATGTAAATCAGATTACACCAGATTCAATTGTTCCTGCATCTAGTATATCAAACCTGGATTTAGTTTTGACTATCGATTTGATTTTTTAATGATGTTTTTATTTCAGAATAAGAATGCAAAAAGAGTTGGCTGACTTGTATAATGATATTTTTGAGCGCGAAGACAGATTAGTAGAGCTTTGGTGAGTATCATCTATCAAGTTAGAAACCCTAGCTTCATTGAACTAAGAGCAGCCGTGTAGATTGAATTTCAGCGCAATGTTTACAGAATGCAAGGGAATGACAAAACGCTTTTTTCCTACAGCTTAAAGATAAAGAAACTACAGAAACGTCACAAATTTGTGGAGAATAAAAAAGCGTATTGTATTTTAGAAGAACAAAGTAAAACAGACTATGAAACAAAACTGAAGAAGATTCTGGAACTTAGAAAAGACCTGCTGCTAAAAGTTATGTAAGTAAATAACACAATCTTGAAAACTTGGGCAGGAATGAAGCTTTTTAAAGTAACAGAATTATCAACTATATTTCTAGCTGTTCTGGGATTGCCCTTCAAGATCGTGAAAGGGAACTCTTAGCCATTGAACAAAAGCACGCTAAGCTCTGGTCCCTCACGTTTGATGATGACCCAGAAGACAAGCTGGAGGAATGGAAACGAGACCTGCGCAAAGCGCATTCACAGGGTGACGTCAACAAAATAGTACCCAGGAATAGATATATGTCAGTCTTCCGCGCTAATTATTCAAAGGGTGACAGAGAAGAAACAGCCAATCAAATGTTGTTACCGTGAAATAGTCACATGGTTTCAACGTCAATGTTCATATAAAACTCGATAAATAGATAAGACGAGCGGCTGTCAGTCAATGATAAACATTTTAGGAACAATATACTGTAATAAATGTAGGAAAAATAATGATAGTTTCTCAATATTGAATTAAATAATGAATAAAAAGTGATCGAATTTAAAAGTAGCAGCTTTATCTTTCCCTTCCTTCCTTCCCTACAATGGTTCAAATCAATCTTCTCGTTTTTTCCTAGAATTCTCCATCTGACTGTCCCTCCCCTCCTTAGCATACTCTATCTGACTGTCCCTCCCCTTCCTAGCATACTCCAACTGACTTTCCCTCCCCTCCCTAGCATACTCCAACTGACCTTCCCTCCCCTCCCTAGCATACTCCATCTGACTGTCCCTCCCCTCCCTAGCATACTCCAACTGACTTACCCTCCCCTTCCAAGCATACTCCATTCGACTGTCCCCCCCCCCCCTAGCATACTCCATCTGACTGTCCCTCTTATGCTTATTGCATATGCTTTCACTTTGACAAGCAGAACGTTTTAATATCGAAAGTGAAATTGAAATGTATTTTTAGTATACAGTACCTGTAAGCTTGCAGAACCCCCAGGACTTGTCTTGATCATAGTTAGGCGTGGTGGAACACCACATCCCTCCAGTATTCGCATGTGTTATGCATTTATCATACACAGTGTCTTGGAAGATGAATGGTAGAGCACAGCACTTACCAGAACCAACATTACCACCGTACGTTTGTACACAGAACGGCTCTAATTATCAACCACATGCAGAGGATAGTTATTAGTGAGAAAAACTAATGAATACGTTGCCTTACTTGGAAGAAAAAGAGAGAGAAGAGGAAGGGGAGGAACTAATAGCGATGAGTTGAGATTAGTATAAGCGAACAAGAGGCCATAGCTCGGGATGGGGCAAAGTTTAAGAAAAATGAATTATATTGTAGCAGCCATGAAAAAGAAACCCCGTTACTCACCCGAACATGGAGCATGAATACATGCTCTAGATTCCCTAGTAGTGCCCAGGCATGCTCTACCAGGCATACAAACGCGATTTCTCGTCTGTAGCCCAGTCCCACAAGTAGTACTACATGGCCCGAAATCTGACCACTGACTAAACCCATCCTGTGGATTGGGGCGAAGTACGGCTCCGCTTTTGCCTTGAGCGAGTCCAGACTCTTTTTCTTCCTCTGACTTCAAAAAGCCTTCGACATCTGAATGGAAAATTCAACCTTCAGAGCTAACACAAAAATTACTTGTATATCCAAGTGTATAATGTAGTTTTTAAGCTACATATGATATCTCAGGCTAAGAAAAAAGGAAACTGAGTTGGAATGGTTTTCTGTAATCGTCTTCCAATTTCAATATTTAAGCCAAAACTTGTGGTCACAGTACTAAATGACGGTGCGATTTGTCTCCCAACAGTGTTGCGACACAAGCTGCAAGAGTGTTTAAATTGTGAAACGGAGACGCAATCGTTCCGAAGGTAGAAACGAATTCTATGCAACTTGTGTAGCGATTGCTGCAAATTGTCTTGCAACATTTTTCAAATTATGCTGTAGTTTACACGATGCAATATTCCATGCAACTTGTCTCGCAACGCCGTTGTGAAACAACTTGCAGAGAAAATTTCTCTGTAAAATCGCGCCTGTCCTATTTTTTCCCATTTCTCACCTTTATTGCTGTACTGTCCATTTCTCGAGAGGTATATGCTTCTATACGGCAAATCACATGGTCCAGGAATAACTGTTACTACGTTATTGTTATTGAGCAACACATCTTCTTTATCATTCAAGTCTTGCGCATAGAAATGAACCTTTCGATCTTTTCGCGCGTGTTTGAAAATCGTCTTGAGTTTGAAAGTCTCTGCTGTCACGAGGTAGCCTTCTCTTTTCATGCTGGACACGATCTTGACTGGTTTTTGAATCTTATTAAAGAATCTTATGCTGATGCATTTGTCTGCAATGAAGAAGATGGAAACCCTGATTCTATATACTATTTTGTCAGAATATTTTAACTAACAGATGAAAACAGTTTTAAAAGTTGCAAGAGTTTTTTGAATCATTTTGAAGAAATTTTTTTCCAAATCCAAACTCAATAAAAAGGGCCTTTGGTTAAATCCATATAGAAGGCCTCTATATAAATCATAAATCATTACTAAAGATGTTGTTCTGTCTTATGCGCAAAGTATAGTTCAATTGTTACTAGTAGTAAACGTGGGTACCGGGCTGAATTTTCATGCAGACTCAGAAAGAAGTATATATATATATATTGTGTAAAGTAACTTGTGTAGATAGTTTTAAAAGTGGACCAAATAAGAAATAAGTAGTAAATCTGTTCAATACTGAAGTCATTAGTTTACCTCCCATGCCGTACACAGCTCGCTTGGGATCAATGGGCTTTGGTTCCCGGTGTTTGGCCACTGGGATCTCCCCTGATCCTGACCCACTGAGTACAGCTGAACCAGATTTAGTGATTGGCTTAGACGTCTGTGACGACATCGGTTCACCCCAAACGATTGGCTTAATTTCGGGTGGCGTCATTTTATTGGCGCTGCTGATTGGTCGAGCCTTGGGTAATGCCACACTGATTGGCCCAGTTTGTGGCCTGGCATTGTATTGTTGTGGTTTATTGGCGTTAATGAAATTGTAGGTAGATGACGCTTTAGGTAACCGATTCACTTGATTTTTCAAAGGATTTTGAAATCTACTATACGATGTCTGTACGACGGGTGCCGGAGGTTTTTGCGCCATATGCAAAACTTTTCCCGGTCGCATGGAGCCAGGCCCGCCTTGTAAATCTATTCCTTTATAGACAGGAGGTCGCGTTCTTGGCCATGTGTTTCCATAGTTACTWGGTGTACGTGTATACTGGGCTAACCGATGTGGAGTGTTAGTATACGATAACCCGTACCTACTACCCTGTAACGGTTTCCCCGCTATCCGGGGTCTATATCCCGTATAGACATTCTGCGATCCTTGTGAGAATGGTTTAGTGGAGAAACCTTTTCTTCTTAAGCTGTTTATGTATTTCATCCTTGCAACCGCATTATTATAACTATTCACTGGTTGGTTAGGCTGGTAAAACCCCTTTATAGCTGAAACGCCTTGATTAAGAGAGTTGATTTGAGAGTTCCTAAGACCCTTATTCGCCTGGGACAACGCTGGACCTATATTTTTTGAACCTTGTGGAAGATTTATCTTAGCCGGTTGCCTGTTCGTCTGCGCGCCAACTTGCCCCTGGACTACTGCTGGTTTGTTTGTAGACTTTACCGCCAAAATCTCTCCAATACTTTCCTTAGAAACTAAACTATCTAAGATTTCTGCTGCTTTTGCTTCTTCTTGTTCTTTGTCTTGATTACTCTCTCCGTTCGGCTTCGGACCGTAAACTTTTAGAACGTTTTGTCGAAACACACATTTCTGGTCGAATTCTTTACTGCGCACTACTTTTGAAACAGCTTTGAGTGCGAATGGCTTGGTCGTGTCGTGGCACATGAACCATCCTGGGTGGGTAAATAGTTCCAGTGCAATACTATTGGGACCGAATGGGTTCCGCTCAAGAAATGTCGCATCTTTTTCTGGAAAAAAGAATTTTACAAGAGCAAGTTAGCAAGGTGCGTCATCACAAACCAAATATGCTTACTTGCTTTCTCTAAAATCCAAGTAGACGCTGTCAGCCTAGCGTGCACTTGGGCCCACAGTGACTTAACTGTTTCTAGGTTCTATTATGTGCTGCGAGCTTAATCATAAGCTTAGCGTCAACGCACATGCGCCATAGACACCACTTAGCGATTTGTGACGATAGAAAACAAAAATATTAACCATTTCCTTTGGAAAGCTCTTTAGTAAAACTGTTGGACTTAGGTTATGGTGGTTAGGGTTAGAAAATGATGTGGAACCTTACCGAATAAACCAGTTGGCTTGGCTTTTTCCATACGGAACTTGTAGTTCTTATACCTTAAATAAAGTCCCGGATGTAAGTTGGACTCCAAAGCAACACTCCGATCAACGTGCTGGAACCCAGGCCTATGCAATCTGAACAACGTTACATTTTGGCCGAGAGAAGATGAGTCCTGTCGGGCATCTATCCCCAGGCCTTCGTAGTTTCGTTTGACATTTTTTTGAATGTCGTGGAGATCAGCGAGTTTGATTGAAAATAATTTGGTTAATGAGATGTTCTTACCAGCTGTGAATCAAAAGAGAATAAATAAACAAATGGAAATTTAAAAAAATTAAATGCTTGAGGAGAATCAAGTATATTAATAAGTTTACGTGACAGTAGCCATATTGAATGGCAGCCGGGATTGAAAAGGAATTCAGCTCCTTCAAAAATGGAATTTTACTCTRTTGTTTTGTTGTCAAACTTGGCTGACTATATAGCCTAGATATCATACAAGACTGTAATTACTGAATCACAACTACTAATCCCAAAAAATCCTTTTAAAGATTTTTTTTGTAGATTTTTTTAACGTTGATAAACGTTACTCACGATACTAGATGGTTTGTTTATTACTTTTTGGTTTATGTTCAAATATTAGACAAAATATTGTCTATTGCAGTCAGCTTGGTGACCCAATTAAAAAAAATCATAGAGTAAACTATGGAACTATAAGAGAGTAGACTATTTAATCAATTGTAATAACTGATTAGACAACAAACTAAGACTTAAATGAATTAAGCTAATTAGCTAACTTACCCGGTAAAGACAAACCAACATCGAACAGAGAGAAGCTCCACACGCCGAGACACAACAACCAAATCATCTCTCTTGGGCGACACAACACTAACACAAAATATGCATTAAAAAAACACTAAAGAAACTAAAATCTAACTCTTTGAGTTTATAAACGAAGACAACATAATGGAGAAGTTTTTTAAAGGTTTGAATTTTTTGGTTTAACTCCTCAAAATGTTAAAGTGTTCAATTATGAATGGAGAGTTGTCGGTCATTGTTCTTTTTATGGATCAAATGCGTTAATGATTCCATAAAATACCTGCTTCGAGCTCAATGAACAGAATAGGCTTCACTAGCTCCACTTCGTTTACAGCGACTACAGTCATTACGTTTCATTCATTAATATTATTAGTTACGCTGGAATCTTTGTACAAAATTCAAAAAGATATATTTTAGACTGAAGTAATAATGTAGATTTTACTGGCCATAAATGAGAATRATAAATGCATTCGTATTCTTTAAAATTAGACATGTTTTGATCATCATAAATAGAGATTTATTGCTTATTGCAGTGATGTCAGTCGATATAACCATTTCATAWGTTACTGTCTTGGAAGTTACTCTGAAGGTTTTACATGGCGGAATATGTGCAAAACGTTGACAGGGCAATTCCTTCCCAGAATACAGTTCAGACCTTGGTCAAATGTTATCTCAATTCCTTCCCAGAATCGGACAAATGTTATGGCAATTCCATACTTAAGAAGCAWGAGAAACAGTCGGCTACGCCTCGTGTTCCTAAGCTTAATTCYCTCGTGCTCTACAGCTCCCAAGCGTGTTTATATATCACAATACAGAGACATGCGTGCGCGTTTTAAATCCTTAAAAATAAACACTCGAATTCGGTAAACATCGCCGTCTAGGAACTACAATACACAATGTTTCCCACGATCCCAGTCTTGAAGTAAATGCGAGCCCGAGCTCGTGCATTTTAACTTGTTTAAAAACCAGCCACGCCTTATTTCTAATGTTTGATGCCCGGCTCTCCCCTATTAATGATATCAATGCCAACCCCAACTTTAAAT